GCCCGACACACTGACATGGATGGTGTTTTTAAAACTAACGTTTATATTCCAAGTTTTGGAATGTTTTTGTTTTTGATAACTACAATATTCACATGCCATTCCAATCCTCTAATATCCTATACATGACCTGTCAAGGTGTAGAGGAGAGGTGCACAACAGATATTTGGGACATTTATGTTCTAAAGGCTGTTGCCATGGAGATGACCTTGACCTCTGTTAATATTGCTCTAGAAACCCAATTTTATGTTGTATAGACGGGATAGTTGTTTAGCAACAAAACCGACCGGTGCGCAACTATGGGGCAAAACAGACAGGGTTGGCTTAGATTGTTGACAACATGTGAGCTATATTTTGTCTCCAATGTTTATTGAACATTTGACTGCATTTGCACAATGACCACTTGTTGTCTCTCAAATACATCGTTACAGTTGTTGGTTAGCTAGATAGCGAATTATTTTGGCATATTAGTATTGACATTAAATCAGTCAAAACACCTCAAAACAAGACATGGTATCAAGTGCAAGATTAAACGAGCCACTTACGATTCCCCACATGGCAGTTTCTTGTCATTCTTGCTAGCAATCTGGCCACCCAGTATCACAACAAAACGGTGACTTCTGCCCCATGGAAGCACGCACATCACTTTTGTGACGTTGTCAGCTAACCCATCTATGTGTGTTTATGCTCCCCTGAAGTACCATACGATATTACATTGGTGTCAAAAGGGTGATGTGTACGCGGCAAGTGAAGTCAGACGCAGGACACAGAGACTACTTTACTGAATGCAAACGCACAAACAAAAGTCTCCAAAACACTGGAGGGGAAAAACACCCTGTGCGTAATGAGGCGAAATAGCTATGCCGAACATCAACGAGACAATACACAATAACACACAAAGGCCAAACGTAAAACAAGGGAATTTATATGCTACACAATCAACACTAATAAGCAACAGGTGTATAAACTAGACAACACAAGACAAACACCGAAAACATTGATCGGCAGTAGCTAGTACTCCGGGGACGACGAACGCCGAAGCCTGCCCGAGCAAGGAGGAGGAGCAGCCTCGGCAGAATCCGTGACAATTGGATAGACATGGCTGCAGTCACATTTGTGGACTGCACAGCATTGAAGGTCAGGGTTGAGAAAAGATGGTTGTAGATCTTCTTTCCCTTTAGACCTATCCTCCTCTGCAACCCAGGAATTTCTCATGGATGGCACACAATTGACGATGGACTAGTGTTGTCACGATACCCACATTTTGACTTCGATACCGATACCAGGTTTAGTATCACCATACATGATATCATCACAATACTCGATTCCAAAACGATACCACAACAACAAAAAATAAGGCGTTTTAGCCAAAGTCACAGAATAGCACTTGACCCAGACATAAACTCAGCTACTGCTCTGTTTAATCGTTGGGCATCTTTTGAGTTCAATATCATCAGTATGAAAATGTATGCACTCGATAACTGTAAGTCTCTCTGGATAAGAGCGTCTGCTAAATTACTAAAATGTAAATGTAAATGATTACATTTGAAAATGTTTATGTCCTTTCTTTTGTATGCATTAATTAATCAATTAGACAATCATACAATTATTTTGACTTTGTTGTTGACAATCTAACTACAAATTTAACTACAAACAACATAATGGTAATCATTTATTTGAAAGGTAATTCTCTATTGTTAATCTGGGTAACTCAAGATGTAGCCTAGGTCTATTCACAATACAGGTGAATGCATATTATTCAATAGGAGTGTGTGCATGCATTGAGTTATTGAGCTTGTTTTAGCTGATTTCATGGGGCTACAATGACAAACAGTCCCTTCCATTTAGGACTTATTTTATTGGCAACTGCTAGGAAAGACAAAGACAAAGAAGTGAATGAGTATTTGGTGGCAAGGGAGACGAAGTTAAGTAATACAGTTTTTGGTGACAGTCAGCTTTGAAATCAGCATATTTTGCATTATGGTTTGCATATTATCACAAACAAAGTATTAGGGTATTGAGTTGATGTTGCTTCAGCTGTAAGCTAGCAAGGACATTTAGCCTACAATTAAAGCTGGAAGCTACCGGTAATGTCTGTTTATTATTATTTTGCAAACAGTAATGAACAGTTTCAACATTTCTGCGTGCCGTGTTGCATTATTCAAGTATGTTAACCTTTGTGCATCATGAGTGGGGAGCTAACAATGCAGCCCCGTCAGCTCTAGCAATGAATGAGTAATTGGAGCATGTACGTTGCTCTTCACACTATAAAGGGGCTGCACTGATAGACAGACTTGATCCTCTCAATCACGTGAGACACATTTGACAGAAGTACGGAACGTAACAAAAAGTTTAGTACCGAACAGTTTTTTAATAGTTTTTTGTATAGAAAAACTATCTACGTTTTGGCATACTGTGCAACGATGGACTAGCGACTATATTGCCCGGTACCCAGCAGTGTAATATTCCAGTTTCAAGAGTTGTTTGCAATGTTAATTTAAATGGAATAGACATCCAAATCATTTTCATGTTAGGTACAATATTGTGAGATTATTATTTTTTTAAACTTGTTTTTGACAATGTATGGGGGAGGTAATGCATACATTTTAATGCAGATAAATGTAATGCAGTTTGGCATATGCCAAACACAAAGCAGATGGTCCTGTTTTAATTACTTTGCATGACTAAACCTGACACCTCGGAAGTGGAAACAATTACTCACTTTTATTATCACAGTACACGAGAGAGAGCGTGAGAGAGAGAGAGAAAGTGCTTATATAAACAAGGTATGACGACAGTGCAATATGCAGATCGATAAGAGGAGTTTATTGAATTGCACTCAAGGCCCTCCTTACTTTCAAAGACTGTGTAGTCCAATACTGTTGATGCCAACCTTAAGGCTTATTGCAGATGTGACCGCCACCAAGGACGGTGCCCTCTTAGAAAAATGGTTCTACCTGGAACCAAAAAGGGGTTCTCATATGGCAGGGTTCCCCAACTGGAGGCCCGTGGGCCAAAATTGGCCCGCGGGTAGTTTTATTTGGCCCCCCAAGTTTTCTGAGCAAAGAATTATATTAAAACAAATATACAGTATATCTTTGTTGAATTTTCATTGTTGGACAAGAAAGACTGTAAAAACCAGGAAATCAGCTCCAAGTGATTTTCATTTTGGAAATCTGTTCCCAAGTATTCCCACGCATAATAGAGAGACATCATGATCGTATACAAATAATAATAATTTATAAAAATTAATTGGATTCATATAGAACATTTCTCCAAAAAGTACGATCTTTGTCCCCATGTGCAGTTGCAAACCGTAGTCTGGCTTTTTAATGGCAGTTTTGGAGCAGTGGCTTCTTCCTTGCTGAGCGGCCTTTCAGGTTATGTCGATTACTTGTTTTACTGTGGATATAGATACTTTTGTACCTGTTTCTTCCAGCATCTTCACAAGGTCAATGGCTGTTGTTCTGGGATTGATTCGCACTTTTCGCACCAAAGTACATTCATCTCTAGGAGACAGAATGCGCTCCTTCCTGAGCGGTATGACAGCTGCGTGGTCCCATGGTGTTTATACTTGCGTACTACTGTTTGTACAGATGAACGTGGTACCTCCAGGCATTTGGAAATTGCTCCCAAGGATGAACCAGACATGTGGAGGTCTACAATTATTTTTCTGAGGTCTTGGCTGATTTCTTTTAATTTTCCCATGATGTCAAGCAAAGAGGCACTGAAGTTAGGCCTTGAAATACATCCACAGGTACACCTCCAATTGACTCAAATTTTGTCAATTAGCCTATCAGAAGCTTCTGAAGCCATGACATCATTTTCTTGAATTTTCCAAGCTGTTTAAATGCACAGTCATCTTAGTGTATGTAAACTTCTGAGCCACTGGAATCGTGATACAGTGAATTATACGTGAAATAATCTGTCTGTAAACAATTGTTGAAAAAATACTTGTGTCATGCACAAAGTAGATATCCTAACCGACTTGCCAAAACTATAGTTTGTTAACCAGACATTTTTTGGAGTGGTTGAAAAAAGATTTTTAATGACTCCAACCTAAGTGTATGTAAACTTCCAACTTCAACTGTACCTCATTCTCACCTCAACTTTTCTTTTTTTGTATTTTAGCACAGAAAGTAACACCACAAAATATGTGTGGTCGGTGTGAAGTTCTGAATGTTTTTCTCTCCAAATCGTGGAGGGTGAGGCTTGGGGATATATCACAGTGATTCTACAGTACACCCTGTATGTTTCTGAGCAGATTGGAGCCTCCTTGCTCTCCATTTCAATAGGTACTTAGAGCCCTCATTGAGAGATTACCATTGGGTATCATATAATTCCCTGGCCACTACAGCCTCACAGCTTATAACTCCACAACCACATCTTCCAACATTTCTTCTTCTTGTTTTTAAACAGAATGTAAAGCCTACTTTGGGGCTTAACCCTATCGGTCTCTGAAGTATCTTAGCTCTGATGTTGAGTGCAAATGCAGCACACTGAGAGATAACAAGAGGGCCTCCACACGCTCCTGGGCCCCTCTCCACCCTGCACACTTTCTCCATGCTTTCATCATGTCTCTTCTTCCTGCTGTCACCCTCTCCTCTCTCTCTCATGATGATGTTGGAAATCAATTCCTAAAACCTGGAGCCATCTTTTTTGATGTGGGGCTCATTGAGGAGACCTGTGAAAAGGTTAATTAGCTGAATAATCAGCTTAGCTACTGCTTGGCAACTAAAACTGCAGGCCTCTATGGAGTGTTTCAGACATGGTTAGGGGCTCTTCCTCTGTATTTAACCATACTGCTAGTACAGCTATAGGTGATCCAATGGATGGTCACCTGGGAAGCACATGGGGTTTTGCTCAGAGTACTCCCTGTCCCATGCTATTACACGTCAAAAAAATCAGTAATAATGCATATGGGGGTGAGGCCAGGGTGAGCCTAAAAATAAATGGCTGTCACTGCTTTGGTTGATGTTGGAGTCTTCTCAGCTCACCTGCAGATGCCTCATGGCATGGGATATGGTAGGGAGGGCTTGGCTGACAGTGGGGGAGGGGAGGAGGGATGGAGGAAGGGAGGGGAGGAGGTAGAGGGAGGGGAGGAGTGGGTCAGTGACAGGTCCCAGACTGCAGTCTGGGGGCAAGCCTCATCCAGCTGACGAGGGAAAAAGCTGTCCCCAGCAATCACAGAGGAGAGGAGATGAGAGGAAATATGCTCTAATGAGAAAGAGAGAGAGACAGCAGAGCTGGGGCAGGCAAGTGTGCAGAGAGGAGGGAAGAGGAGTAAGAAAGGGATAAAAACAAGGAAATAGAAGAGGGCATGGGAACAAGAGAGAATACAGTTCTATGAAAAGGAGATGATGTATTATAGATACATACCACGCTTCTCTGTGGAGCTGAGTCGCATGCTGGCATTCACTCGTCTGTAAAAAAACTGCTCTTGGCGTACCCATGGTGAGGGCCAATAAGGTGCAATAGAAAGCAGCAGGTCTCAGCAGGTCAATGAGGTACTACTGAATCAGTGATGTAATGAAACCTTGGAATACTAATTGGCCTCAGGGAAAGAGAGAAAGTCTGAGAGATAGAGATAAGAATGGAGGGAAAAGAAGAATGTGAGAAGAGAGAACGGAGGAGTGATATTTGCTCGGTATGTGAGATAAATGCCCTGCAGCCACACAGTCAAATGCAGTGCAGATGCTTCAATAGAAGCCACAATTGTAAACAGGAACAATAATGGATTGTCTCTTGGGTTTTCTTGACACTATTCTAAACAGATACATTAATGTGTCAATTGCTGGAGGAAGGGCAAGCAGCGAGCAGACAAAATAAGAAAAAGCACTTGTGGTATTTTATGTGAACAAGGAGGCGATTGCTTGTTGATTTCCTCTGAACTGAAAATGACTCTGTCTCAACAATGAGAGATTAAAGAGACTTGTATCCCCTTTGAACCAGGACAGATCACTTCAAACACTTTCTAGACGGTTTGTTGTCGGTCATTTGAAGGGGCTCTGTTACTTTCTGCATAACCAATCCTCAAAACATCAAAATCCTCTAAATACAAACCTAAACAAAATGCTGCACAGTCCTAGGTAAAGGGAGATAGCTTCAATATGTTGGAAACCATGTATTATCCCATATGAATTAATGATATATGACACATATGACTGACTGATCATTTATAATGAGAAAACTGTTATTTCTCATCATTCTTGTCTCAAGGATTATAGCAACAATGGGTAAATAAACTTTCACTGTAGTGCCTCATCACATGGCAAATATTTGACTGATTATGACGCATGTAATTAGTTACATCTCCCAGTCCACAAAGAACAGCAGAGTTTGGTTAAACAAAGAGAAAAGGTTACAAGAATTCATATTTCATCAGCCTGTGCATGACTTTGAAATCAAGCATTAAGCGTAACCCTTCTCAGAACCGTTTGTCTTTCTCATCTTTTGTGTCTAATGCCATCAGAATTTAATGAGTTGGTTGTCACATTTGTCTGCATATACAATACACTGTCATTTGTCAGACATTGGGGGCATCATTCACTGGAGACAGTATAATACATGCTCAAGGAGATCAGAGGAAATAGGATCATTCAATGTTATAACATTTATGTGGAAAGCATATTTGCTACAGTTTTCAGAAGTGTATCAAGGCTACTGTATTATCACGCTAACCTGATTGCTGTGGTTTTGATCTCTTTAGATAACTGCGATGGCCCTTTGGTATCAAATCTGCCCCAGGCCTCATTTCAGAGTTCCTCGCAGTCCTCCATCAGTAACATTCCACACTTCTCCAAGCTCAACAGAAGAGATGGTGAGTAAAGATTAAGACCATGCTCAACGCTGTGTATAAGTACATATCCATCAGTAATAACCTCTTGATGGATTGTCAACTTCCCATGAACGTCCTGTGCAGAGTATGTTGCTTTAACATTTAATTTCCACATGTAGCTTAATAAACATAAATGATCTGTGTATAGCTGTAAATTATTTGATCGATGGATTGTAAACAACAATTGCTTGTCATTTAATGATATTGTTGTAAGCAGTTAATTGCCAGCTGTTTCCTTTAGAGTCCGCCATCTGCATTTGATCACTAAACATCAATGGCTTTCACTCACTTAAATGAGAACTTGTCAAAGTATTGATGAACTCCAAAGGCCAACCTAATTGTCCCACACACTCCATACTCCTCAGTCTGGCAAGTAGTCAATGTGATAACAACGTAGAGTTGATGGAGTTGTGCCTGACTTAAAAAATGCTCTTCACTGTTTGGCCTTTAACATAGGGGGGGGGGGGGGGGGGGGGGCTCCGTAAACAATGCTTCCTTTGTGGCTGAGACTCACAGTCCCAGCCCACAGCAGCTAGGTAATGAACATCTCTGCCAAAGCTGACCTGTTTCTTCTTCTTGATAGCTGAGTAGCTGTGGGGCTTAAACACATCTTTATGGAACATAGCATACATTACAATTAGGGCTACTCAAATGATTAAAATAATTAATGAAGTTAATGGCATTAATTAATTTTTTGTTGTTGAATTTGCTCAAATTTGGCCCTAAAGAAAGAAAGCAGTTCATTGAGTTACATGCATACTATGCTTTGATTGTAAGGGGAAACACACAATTATTTAGGCTACATCAGAATGTTTTAATAGCATTTTCACCATAAACAACTCAAAAGTCACTGCAACATAAAGCTATTAATGCTCACAATGTTTTAATGCTTCCAATGTTTAAATAGGTCTACTCCCACATTGTCAATGTTCTTGAAGTTTAACACTTGCACACAGCACCCCCCCCACACACACACACACACACACACACACACACACACTCTTGCTCTTTCTCTCTCTCACACACACACACACACACACATTTACATTTAAAAAATGCTATAGTTTGATATACACTTTACACATTAAAAGGTACTCAGACATATACGGTAATCATGATATATGGTGTTTTCGGTACTAACTACTACAGATCATGAGCTTTTCCCAGCCCTCAGCTACTCTCAGCCCGGGGGGGGGGGGGGGGGGGGGGGGGTCTATTATCAAAATACAGTAGATATATCTCACACTTTGACAAGCTTCTCATACTGTATACTGGTGATGCATAGCTTAAAGTCAGATAAATATACGTTATACACTGTATGTAATTTCAAGCTTTGGTATCGGTATCGGAATCTCAATGCAGTCGGAGGATAGGCTATTAATCCATCTCTGCTAGCATGTCTGTTTCTCTGTTCATTTCTCTGGGAGACTAGGTCCACAGGCTAAGGGTTATCAAGACTGTGTCCATATTTTTGAGTAATGGCTATGTGTAATATAATGCTGAATACCAGACCAGAATCAAAGCCTATTGTTAGTTGCTTTTGTTTCATGTTTTACTCTCATTGTTTTTCTAAGGCACAACTACATTATTGAAGTCATTAATGGTTCACTACTATAAAGACAAGAAAGAAAAACCCTTGGTTCTAATTGTTTCCGATCCGGCTCAAAGGACTGACTAGTCTAGGGGTGTCTGAATCACCTCCAATAATGCTACATTAAACTGCTTTTAGACAGGGTTTAGACAATTGTGCAGTGCTCATGAACACATAGTAGAGTACAGCCAGTAAGTCGTATGAGTTAACCCAAATGAAAAATTCTCTATTATTTCTGTCTGACTCACAGCCCTATAGACATAGTAACTGCCACAGTGACCAGTGACCAAACACAATCCCACTCTCTCCCACACACTCTATATTCTCTCTGGCTGGAGCTTTTAGGAAAATAAACTTTCACACTAGAGATAACTGTCTGGACTACCCATCTGTTTGGGGTTGTGTGTGTGTGTTTGTCTGCTCATGCTGTGTCACACCTAGCCATGCTAGGTCACTCTTTGCACCTTCCTGTCCTGAAAAGTTTTTTCTCTCTCTGGTCTCAGGAGTGGGAGGCTGGTCTCCCCAGGTGACAGACAGACATCCGTGGCTGCAGCTGGACCTCAGGGACAGGATGGAGGTGACGGCCATCTCCACACAGGGTCGCTACGGCAGCTCAGACTGGGTCAGCGGCTACCTGCTGCTGTTCAGTGACACCGGCCTAGCCTGGAAGCAGTACCGACAAGAGGACGGGGTTGGGGTGAGTCTCCTTGCTGATGATTTCTGTACCATGAAAGGCTCTGTTCTCTATTTTAATCCTTTAAACATTTTTGCAGGCTGCAAAGTGTGTTCAATAATATGTGAGAGCTTCAGTTCTATAACTGTCTTCTCCATGACAATGCCTGGAAGAGGCGTCAGATAAAGCTGTATCTGACAGTAATGTCAGACATCCTTGGGAAGATACATAGCTAGCTAGTTTGCCTTCTACCTGTCAACTCAGAGGCACTACATGCTGACTGCAATGTTTGGGTTTGCTGAAGTGGATTTGAGTCAGACTAAAAGTATAAAAGAATGACAAAAAGTCTATGGAAGAGTGACACTGCTAAATAAGACTCTTGGCTAAGAAACATATGACTCAGTGTCTGAGCTCTCTCTATCTTCACTATGCCAGATATGAGGGAGTTTTAATCCACTCTTTCAAGTCTTTACTTAGTTTTAGCATTGCCATGAGGGACAGAGAAACAGTTGATCAAGATTCTTTGAGTCAGACCGTTTTTTGTTCATGTGGTTTGAAATCCTAACAAAGGAGGGCTTTTGCAGATGCACATACTCATCAGGCAACTATACCCCACGGACAAACATACACACATGTTCCTCTATCACACCCTTCCAGAGTGTGGAATAAGAATTGTTATTCATGTCCACTCACAATTTTAAATATTGCACTTGGCTCTCTGTCTATTTTTTTCCCTTCAGATTCAGTGTGTGAGCACAGAGTACAGGAAAACATGCAACTGTATGCCCAGTGAAAAGTCACATTACAGGAGAAAAGATTAGTTGACTTATCATGTCCATTTTTTTGCCTCATCAAAATGGATGCAGTGTCTCAACCTGGAGGTGTGAACTTTTCATCACTCACACACTCAGAAACACATGGATGAAAGAACACCTTTTCTTCTTCTGTTACAGTATGACTGAGCCCAGCTGCTGCTCATGCAGCAGTCATATAGGGTAGGTCCAACTATAGATCAACAACACTCCTATATCATGTCACTCGAAACCAAGCAGTCATAAACCTTGCAGTATTGTTGTTGGTGTGAGAGGTGTAGGAGCCATTCGATTCAGAGTAGTGGCCATAACTGTGTTTGTGCTGACAAGCCAGCTTAGGGCTCTTTTGGCGCTGACATTGACACATATCGCTCCACACCCTCATCTCTCTTCATCTCCTAGCCTTTGTCACTTAACGGCAGGTGAACCTTGATTCCTCGCAGTGGAAAGTGCTGAGCGCAGGGGCTTTTTGAGTGCTTGTTGCTACACAGTTATTACTGTCATTGCATGTCTTCTCCAAAGATATGCATTTTAGACGCTTTCATGCCTCATAGGTTGTCATCTCAATAATAGTTTTCAAGGGCATAGTCTATACTCAGAGGTACTTTGCTTGGCAGAAATGCATGTACTTTGTCTGTCATGAAAGTATTGCCATTCAAAGAAAGGAATGGAAGTTGCTACAATAATGTCAACAGCCTTGTTAATAAAAAGAAAAGCTATAACTTTGAGAGAGCATCATATTTTTCTGATAGATAAACACATTTAAAAAATAGACCAAGGTAATGATGGTTATTTTTGGTCAACCATTACATAGCAGTTGAAAAATGAAAGATTTCTAATAAAATGAACTCCAATTCTCCTACGAAAGTTACATCGTAATTGTTTGATGGTTATGTATTTGACATTGAGATAAGAAAGTATTAACTTTGTCTCTAAATGATAACCTTATAGCAGAGGTCATAGGCTATTTCTGCCTACAGTGCATGTTTGAAAGGGTTAACACAACATTAATTATGTTGCATACCATCATGTTCTAAAGGTGCTGATAACCATAAGAAGGAACATTTATTTTTCATTTAACCTTTATTCCACCAGCAAATCTCATGAGGTTTGTGGTCCTATTCTCCGAGAGACTTTGCCCTTGATAAAGAAGCAGCGAATGTCACTCATTTAAACCATTGTGTTGAAAAGGTTTCCCAGGTTCAACCCACTCTTAATTTTCCATGAAGGGTTTCAGTGACTCTTTTGATGTAGGAGGGAGCACAGCACTTTTCAGAAACATTATTATTTATTTATTTTTTGACAGGGGCATCTTTTTCAGAGAATGGTATTCATTGACATGCTGCTGGTAATTTTCCCCAGGTTTCCAAGATCAAAGACAGTGAAAGGCCAGAGCAGCTACAACATTGGCCTTGCTGCATACAAATGTGGAGAAAACGGAGCCTTCGATATAAACAGGTTGTGCTTTGTTAAAACCTATGCTTTTTGAAGCCATCTTTTACCTTACGTTTTATGTCTCATGTATGTTTTGAACCTTGAGAAAAAGGTCACATAAGGACATTTGCATACATGATTTGTCATGCAATTATGTAGGCATTATAAAGGGTTTATGGAGGCTTCATTAAGCATTCAAAGTGTGACCGATAAACAGATTAACAGACCTCCCATTAGTGCTGAGTGCTGCTCCCAGGCTCTCATTACCCCTGATTGACCACATGACCAGATACATCAGATCACGTGCTCTCCCTACTTTCTGTTCATCCCTAATATCCAGCTCTCAAGTTTTCCATTACAGGGAGGCTTGAGCAGCCCACAGGCCAATCAATATGGAGTCTATTACCATGTGAAGATTGGGTGCAAGAGCATGGTCTGGCGGTCAATGTAGATCTTCTCTGGGTCTAATTGATGTAGAGTCCATGACTCATTTAGTTGTTAAGGCACAGAACTTGGGGGTGTTGCATTTATTAGTGGCCATGGATCTTCTGCAGACCAGATCCATGCTGTTCTCTGCAGTGATCCTTCCGAGGGCTTCGTTGGGATTGTCGAGGTGATCGGAAGATCCAAACTGATGCTGAGTAATTGGCGGGAAGAAGACAAACTTATCTCCATGGGTTGATATCTCTCTTGTTTAACACATAGCTTTATATTAAAGATTGATGATGCTGATGATGAATGAAAGTTAACTTCCAAGAAACAGAGGTTAACGGTTAGCTTGGATTACATTTTAATGACTATGTACACAAACATTTATACATTTTAGAAAAATACGAGCATTAATATTAAAAAATCCCTTTTTAGATTTTGCTCATTATGTATTCATGAGTTTTTGTACTACATCGTAAATGTATTGTATTTTTTCTAGTGCATAAAAAATCCAGGAAATGAAACAGAATGTTGTGTTACTTAGTGCAGCTGAGGTGGGAATTCCGTCTGCAGCTGTTTGTCCAAGGATGTGTTCATAAATTGCCTCCAGTGTGTCAGAGTGCGCTCTGGGCCGTTCATAAATTCAAAGTGTGTCACTCTGGAGCATTCAGAGCGCACTGGACGGTCTGGCCAAGTAGTAGGGTTGATCCGAGCCTTCTGACCTCACAATGTCAGTCAAGCACCAAGAAACTCCTGAGTGGCGCAGTGGTCTAAGGCACTGCATCGCAGTGCTAACTGTGCCACTAGAGATCCTGGTTCGAATCCAGGCTCTGTCGCAGCCGGCCGCGACCGGGAGACTCATGGGCGGCGCACAATTGGCCCAGCGTTGTCCAGGGTAGGGGAGGGAATGGCCGGCAGGGATGTAGCTCAGTTGATAGAGCATGGCGTTTGCAACGCCAGGGTTGTGGGTTCGATTCCCACGGGGGGCCAGTATAAAAAATAAATAAATGTATTCACTAACTGTAAGTCGCTCTGGATAAGAGCGTCTGCTAAATGACTAAAATGTAAATGTAAATGAAACTGGCTAAAGTTGGCTAGCTTACTAGTTACTTCCAGAAACAAATGAGAGAACACCTAACTCTGACCATTTTACTCGTCCTAGCAGAGCTGGTTAGACTGTTTTCATGTTATCAAAAGGGTTAGTGACTGTAACTGTGCTGCTGGCGACTATTTAATTATGTTTTTTGCCGACGTTTACTGACACCTGTCATATTCAACGGGTATTGGGCGTTCATAAATCCATAAATTATTCTGCGCTCTGGCACACTCAAATCGGAGTAGATAGCCAGAATGACTTTACGAACACACCCCAAATCAACATCTGGCAAGTATTTGTGAAGTAGTAGACTTCACAAGTAGCTCAGCTGGTAGAGCACGGCGCTGTAACGCCAAGGGTAGTGGGTTTCGATCCCCGGCCACCCATACACAAAAAAGTAGCACGCTGACTGTAAGTCGCTTTGGATAAAAGCGTCTGCTAAATGGCATATTATTATGATTATATTATATGATGATATTGCTCCATATCTGGTACTTTAACTAGACCATAATGTCACAAACTGGCCCATTAGCTGTCTCAAACAGGAATTAGTTGGTCCCATTTCACACATGCAGAATATTTTTCAGCAGCAGAATTAACAATGATTATGGTCCATAGTCTCTGCAATGTAGTAACTTCCTAGTTTAGCTAACAACTAACTCAAAGTCTTCCTGACTTCAGAGTATGGGAAGGCTGCATGATGTTGTAGGCACGATGCAATCGATAATGGGGGCTGTGCTATTTTACTGATTGTTTCTCCTCTGTGTCTTTCTTTCTGACTCAAACACCCGCATGTACAACCACACACAGCCCCCCGAGTGCCCCTCCTTTCCAATACAACTGTTGGATTTTCAAATCCAAACAACCTGAGGTCTCAACCCCGCAGGAAATATTTTTTTGGGGGAGAGAGAACCAATCAAACAAATGGAATACTCCATTTACAACATCCAGACTAGTGTGTCACAGCTCTCCCTTGCTGTGTACCATGTGAGTCAGCCAGGCTAGTAACTTCCCTGCATTTTACTAGTTTTCTAGTTTTCAAATTATGATGACAGTGTCACGATCGTTGAGAGACGGGTCGGACCAAGGTGCAGCGTGAAAAACGTACATGTTTATTAACTCAATAAACATAAAACAAAACAAGAAACAACGTAATGTGAAGTCCTCAGGCTATACACATACAAGCCTAAACGGAACAAGATCCCACGACTGGTTTGGTGCGGGGAGCAGGTAAGGGCCGTACCGGACTGTGGAGCTGCACTGGAGGTCTGGAGCTTAGAGCTGGCACAACCCGTCCTGGCTGGATGCCCACTTTCGCACGGCACGTGCGGGGCGCTGGCACAGGACGCACTGGGCTGTGAATGCGCACTGGCGACACAGTGCGTATCTCCGCATACCTAGGTTCCTCAATGAACACACGCTCCTTTTGTTGCCTGACCAGCTCCTCTCTCCGTGCCTCCACTACTTCCTTCTCCCTTTGAGCCTCCTGTAGCGCCTCCCTCTGAACGGATAACTCCTGCTCCCTCTGAGCTAACAGCCCCTGTAACGTGGTGGCCTCCTCTCTCAGACTGCTCCAGTTCTTCTCTCTCTCTCTCTCTCGCCAATTCTCCTCCAGTGAGGAACTCCTCCGGGAGCCCCCACGAGTTAGGGAACAGAACCTCATCATCGTCATCATCCTCCGACTCCTCCGTGTAAAACTGTTCCCATTCCTGTTCCCATGGTCGTAGGGACTCCAACTGGAACCCCACCGGGTGCAGTGGTCGGGGCTCTTCTCTCTTGATTCCCGACCACCCCTCTAGCCCCCCCAAAATGTTTTATTGGGGTTGCCTCTCGGGCTTCCTCAGCGGTTGGTCCCGTTGTCGTTGATCCTCTCTTGCCAGGGCTTGTACCTTCGCCCAGGGTCCTTTCCCAGCGAATATCTCCTCCCATGACCACCATTTGCCCACCTGTGACAAAGCTATTCGCTCCTCCTCGGCACGCTGCTTGGTGGTTTTGTGGTGGGATCTTCTATCACGATCGTTGAGAGACGGGTCGTACCAAGGTGCAGCGTGAAAAGCGTACATGTTTATTAACTCAATAAACATAAAACAAAACAAGACAAAACGTAACGTGAAGTCCTCAGGCTATACACATACAAGCCTAAACGGAACAAGATCCCACAATGCAACGTAGGAAATAGGCTACCTAAGTATGATCCCCAATCAGAGACAATGAGCGAAAGCAGCCTCTGATTGGGAATCACACCCGGCCAAACATAGAAATACACATTCTAGATCCTAAACATAGATATACATAACATAGAACTACAATAGACATTCACACCCTGACTCAACAAACAAGAGTTCCATAGGTCAGGGCTTGACAGACAGGAAATTGTAATTGCTTTCACTGGGGATCTTTTAGGAGCGTCATCAGTTTCTCCTTAGATCCTAAGAAATATGCTTTTGTTGTGTATTAGTAGTACATGTTTGGTTAATGCATCAATTTGTTTACTTTAATGTCTCCATTGTTGTTGTGAGTCAATATTGTTTCAATGGCTGTACTGAGGATAGCAAGAGCTTGAGTCTGTAGATATCAATATGGGAGACAACATCCTTTCAAATAAATAAATATTTACTTACATAAACAGAGTATACAAACATCTCATCAGATCACAGCATTTGTGATTATTAGCTCGTATTTAATCCATATCAGAGAATGGCTAATCATATATCAGTATTTACGAGTATGTCTTTGTTGCATTTTTATCTTCAGTTTCTGATGCTTCAGACAGAAGCGATGCAACATGTAGACGTACTGTGATGAATGATGAAATCATATTTTCTCAAAGTTTCTGTCCCAGGTGCTATTCTGTGTTTTCTTCCTCATTGAACAGAGTAAATAATAGATTGTCTCTGATGTTTGCCTATGTGCAAGTGTAGCAGAGCATCAGAGACAGTGGAATGAAGAAGCGCTTGGCGTAACCCCCTGGGAGAACTTGGCTGCCTTTGCCTCCCCTGTAAGCCCGGTAACCATGGCACTCAGGTGCTCTTTGTGTTTGACACATAGCTACGTCCGCCCGGCTCAAGGGACCACACAAAGCATCTTTCTGCAAGGGGAAGGAATATAAGTTCAAGCTACTGTACTGTAGCTAAAAGAAACACTGGGGCATTCTTTTCTAAAACTGGATACATCTTCCTTTGTTTAATGTACTGTTCGTATGTTTGTTTTGCATCGAGTGAACAGTGCTTCAAAATAGTAGAAACTATCCTTAGAGAGCTTTCATATCCTTTCAAATGTCTACGTGACATGAGAAGATGTGCCATTTGCCTATGTTGTTACAATATATTGTCTTATAATTTTGTTATCCTAAATTCTCATATAACAGGGGAGTGAATATTTTACCCTAGGGCTTGTGTGCAGTCAGCTGACGTGTGTGACATTAGGGACCTCATCACAGTAGAGGAAGAGTAAAGCGTCTTAATGAATGGGGAGGGAGGCCGTTGGTTCAGGAGTCGATAAAGGAATAGAAATAATTAAGTCACTGTGGGGTTAGTAGCTGTTTATGTGGACAGTGACTAACCTAAAGCTCTGTGGTCCAATGAAGATCTTCTGTCCCCTCAGGGTTCCAGCCAAAGACTCTGGTTCACATCTGCACAGTAATTGGGCGGATGTGTTGTCGCCATTTTTTCAGATCTGGAATAACAAGGGTTGTTCTGGGACAGGGTTTAGTTTCCATTGTGTGCTTTAAAATAGATCACTCTTATGGGAGAACGATGTTCCTGACATGACGCAAGATGACTGCTGGGGCTTTTGAAAAGCAAACTGCAAAGCTTGAGGTCACTGTCCCTGCTGAATCACCTTTTGTACATGTGTTTCCAAGGTTACACACACCATGCATTCATCCATTTCAGTCCAAACACCAAACAAAAAATGTGTCTTAAGTCTGCTGTATATGACTCATTTGAGAGAAAGAGATGCCATTCATGATGACGATTTGTATGACCTTCAAGGGCCTTGATGTGTTTGAACTGTAAGTATATTGCACAGAATGTTATATAAAAGGGAAACAATCATTGTTCCATTACAACTCACTTTCTGTAACTGAATAGAGTTTAACCATGATTCTTGTAGCCAACAGGGAGACATGCAGATACTGCCTCTGGGTCTTACCCAGTTCAACACAAACATTTGGGCTTGACAGTTTGGTTTGAATCAATATAAGTCATTTCAGTGCTGATTGCCTTCATTTTCAAGACACAGAAATGTTACAAAGAGAAAATGACTGATCAGTATGGCATGCCTATGCTATTGATGTAAGGATTTAAGGAAGATTATCTTTGACCCAAATGACGCGAGATAACACTGATAAATCTATTCTATTGAATTATTATCTACTTTATAGGGAAGGCATTTTGTTGTATGCTATTGATGAGATGATTATGAAATGCTAAGATATGTTGGACATAAAGGGGAGATTTTAATATCAAGAAATTAGATGGCAATAAAAAATATTGCATTTGTATATTACAGTCATGGGGGGGGATGTTGGCGGGGAGTGCCTTGAAAAAATATATACTGTATATAAATAAACAAATCCTGCTATATAAATCCTAATGAAAGGGGAAACAAAATCCAATATTATGAAAGCTGACACTTGCTGTAGAAAACAGAAAAGGGAAAACAATGATGAAATTGCACCATGCAGGGTATAGTTTATGTTTCCAGGCCATTCTAATTCAAACAGAATACTAATGGTGGCTTCATGCAAATGGAATTGTAAATAGCTTTTGCCATGTTGTTATTCATATTGTGGTATCAAAGTGTTTTAATTAAGTAAAACAGTGTGCACAGAAGCCACAGTACAACATCGCAACATGCAGGACAGAATCTGCATGATTATGAATTCACTGTATGGTGTCCTTAGTCTCTATGTAGTGACTATGATATATTTGCATACTATGTGGGTGTAGGCATAGGTGTCTAAAGACCCTATGACACATGCGTGGAAGGTGTTGTAACTAAACACCTATTGCACAGTTGAGAACTACCATCTGTGGAATGAATGGAGAACAAAGAGAGTTTGTCCAATTGTGTTGCCCTCAATGTTTCCTTTGAGAATGGATGAATGTTCAGTCATGGCTTACACATTAGAGTCAATGATGTGATTAAGATGATAAATATGATGAGTATCTTCATTCAATTTGCATTTGCATTTTACTTTTCCACCTCTCAAGGTGCATTTAAGGTTACTGTAGTGACGCTGCATGAACGATGAGAGACACTTAATGCATCTTATCTAACTATTCTGCCTGTTCTCCCCTCCTCTCTCTGTGTGTCTCCAGAGGTTTGTGGGGAACGTGAATGCTGACAGTGTCGTCCACCACAAGTTGTCCCACTCTATCAGAAGCCGCTTCCTGCGCTTCGTCCCGCTGGACTGGAACCCCAGTGGCTGGGTGGGACTCAGAGTGGAGGTGTATGGCTGTGCCTACAGTGAGTGACCAGACCACCAACCTTACAGAACACGAACACGTTCAGCTAATATCATAATAACTACAGTAAATGACCCCTTAGACACAGAACAAACTCCATACACATTGAGCTAATATGATAATGTTCTGGCGTATGTGATTCCAACACATTTGGTATTCACTCTGTGGGACTCCTGGACTGCGTTGGACATTGCTCTAACAAGAGTGTGTTCAGACCTGTCCAGACACTAACACTTTCCATTGGGGCTTGTTTAAGCATGCAATCTATCATGGGGCTGATTGTATCCCCATGTTGACAGTGGAATCCATGAGAAAATAGCATTATGCTAGCCAGTAATGTCATTGTAACCATCCTGTACATTTTCGCCCACTATTTAATAAGATATACAGTATCTGCTAATTGAAGAGACATTTCCTTCTGGCATGCCTTCCTTCATACAAGATCAAAGCAAATACTGACGGAACACAATCCTCACCAGCTAATAGAGGCAGACAGTGACAGCCAGCCAGGCGTGCCAGTTGAGAGCCAGTCTCTGCATGGATAATGCTAAACAAATAAAGGGGAGTCACTGGGACGCCTCTCCCACACATTCTGAAGCAGCATTAACTGGATCAGCCAGTGAATTACTGCTCTGTGAAAGACAGTTATAATTAACCCTGAGTGAGCACTTTCATAATGCCAAACTGTTCCACAGCATGATCCCTGTATTAATGTTGGATGAATGTGTACTCTGCTAATAAATGCTGCATGACAAGCACCTAATTTCAACTTACTGTAAAAATGAAACTCCGGAGTGCTCTAACAACAAGCAAATAAAGAGGGGAATAGGAAGATCTTGAAGCCATTGAACAGGTCATAGTGTCACGGTTTCGGCCGAGGCTGCTCCTTCTCCTTGTTCGGGCAGGCTTCGGCGGTCGTCGTCTCCGGAGTACTAGCTGCCACCGTTCTTTGTTTTCGATGTTTGTTTGGTTTGGTCTGTTTGGTACACCTGTTCTCGTTTAGTGTTGATTATGTGTCCTTTAAGTTCTTGTTGTTTCTGTCATGTGTTTGTGTGTAGTTGTTCTTTTGTCAGCTGGAGCAGTCAGTACATTTTTCTCTATTTGTTTTGTTTTATAGAGAGTCCGCACTTGTTGTGCGCGTTTGTTGCATTCAGCTCGTTTACGCAGTGTGCGTAATTTTCTCGTGCCTCCGGCTCTGTTTTGTAGCCGTGTCATTTTGTCTTTACTAAAGACTTTTGGACTAAGCCTCTGTGTCCTGCGATTGATTCCTACACCACATCCACGCCGTCTGACAGAACTACACACCTCTTCATGGAATCAGCAGGAGTAGCAGCAGCGACCGAGTCATGGGAGGAGCGCGTCCGCGGACAGGATGACAGAATAGCCCAAATCACAACCGCTCTGCAGGGAGTGATGAATACCCTGCATCGACTGGAGACCAGTTGGGTACCCGCGCCTCCTCCTACCTTACCACCATCACCGGTCAGTCCGTTCGTCCAAGCTCCGGAACCCAGTGGGATTCGGCTCTCGCTCCCGAGGGCGTATGATGGCACCGCTGCCGGGTGTCAGGGTTTTCTCCTACAAGTAGAACTCTACCTAGCCACCGTACACCCGGCGCCCTCGGGACACGAGAACGTTTCCTCCCTCATCTCCTGTCTCACCGGCAAGGCGTTGGAATGGGCCAACGCCGAATGGAGGATGATAGACGCCGCGACGATCACCTATGCGGAGTTCTCCCGTCGCTTCAGGGCTGTGTTCGACCATCCACCTGAGGGGAAAGCGGCGGGAGAGCGTCTATTCTACCTCCGACAGGGGAGGAGGAGCGCCCAGGAGTTTGCACTGGAGTTCCGGACTCTAGCGGCAGATGCAGGGTGGAATGAGCGGGCCCTCATAGACCACTTCCGATGCAGCCTACGGGAGGACGTCCGTCGTGAGTTGGCTTGCAGGGACACCACCCTTACGTTTAACCAGTTGGTGGACATGGCCATTCGTCTCGACACCCTGCTGGCTACCCGCGGACGTCCTGAGTGGGGGTCGTCCATTCCACCCTCCAGCACCTCCGAGCCGAGTCCTATGGAGCTCGGGGGTGCTGGCGCTAGAGAGGAGAGGAGAAGTCCGAAGGGGGCCACCCCCTGTACCAACTGTGGCCGTGGAGGACACACTGCGGCTAGGTGCTGGGGGGGGGGTCTCCAAGGGGACGAGACGGCAGGCCACGCACTGGGGAGTACTTCCAGGTGAGTAGGCGCCCCACTTACCCAGAGCTCTCTGTTGTGCACCTAACCATACCTGTTTGTTTTCCACAGGTTGCACCTCGTTCCCAGCATAAGGCGCTAGTAGATTCAGGCGCAGCCGGGAATTTTGTAGATTGGAAATTTTGTGTAGAGTTAGGGATTCCTCTCCTTCCTGTCAACAATCCTTTCCCTGTACATGCTCTAGATAGCCGTCCGTTGGGATAGGGGTTGATTAGGGAGGTCACAGCGCCACTTAGGATGGGGACGCAGGAGGGTCATGAGGAGACTATTCAGCTATATCTTATCGACTCTCCTGCGTATCCGGTGGTGCTGGGGCCTCCCTGGTTGATTACCCATAATCCCTCTATTTCGTGGCAACAGAGGGCTCTGAAGGAGTGGTCTGCCCAGTGTGTGGGGCGATGTCTGGGTGTTTCCGTGGGGGCGACCTCGGTGGAGAGTCCAAACCAAGTGCCCGCAATGCACGTTCCCCCCGAGTATGAGGATTTAGCACTTGTGTTTAGCAAGGCGAGGGCGACGCAATTGCCACCACATAGACAGGGGGATTGTGCGATAGACCTCCAGGTAGGAGCTGCGCTTCCGCGGAGCCATGTGTATCCTTTGTCTCAAGAGGAGAAGAGAGCGATGGAGACTTATATAGCCGAGTCTCTGAGACAGGGATATATACGGCCCTCCACTTCCCCTGCGTCCTCGAGCTTCTTTTTTGTGAAGAAAAAAGATGGGGGTTTGCGTCCGTGTATTGATTACCGCAGTCTCAATCAGATTACTGTGAAATACAGTTATCCACTCCCTCTGATTGCGACTATGACGGAGTCATTACACGGAGCACGTTTCTTCACAAAGTTGGACCTCAGGAGCGCCTACAACTTGGTGCGCATTAGGGAGGGAGACGAATGGAAGACAGCATTTAGTACCACCTCGGGTCATTACGAGTATCTCGTCATGCCATACGGGTTAATGAATGCTCCTTCAGTCTTCCAATCCGTCGTAGATGAGATCTTCCGGGATATGCAGGGGCAAGGAGTGGTCGTGTACATTGACGACATTCTGGTGTACTCTTCTACCCGAACCGAGCATGTTGCCCTGGTGCGCCGAGTGTTGAGGAGGTTGTTGGAGCATGACCTATATGTCAAGGCAGAGAAATGTCTGTTTTTCCAGGAGTCTGTCTCCTTTTTGGGTTATCAGTTGTCTGCGTCAGGGGTGAAGATGGAGGTTGACCGTGTGTCTGCCGTGCGTAATTGGCAAACCCCAACCACCGTTAAAGAGGTGCAGCGGTTCTTGGGCTTTGCGAATTACTACAGGAGGTTTATCCGGGGTTTTGGACAGGTGGCAGCTCCCATAACGTCCCTTCTTAAGGGGGGTCCGGTGCGCTTGCAGTGGTCTGCTGAGGCTGATAGGGCTTTTGGGAGACTGAAGGACCTGTTTACTTCGGCTCCGGTGCTGGCGCATCCGGATCCCGCGCTACCATTCCAGGTCGAGGTGGACGCGTCTGAGGCCGGTATAGGGGCCGTGCTCTCGCAACGGTCTGGCACGCCACCTAAACTCCGTCCCTGTGCCTTTTACTCTAAAAAGCTCAGCCCGGCGGAGCGAAATTATGACGTAGGGGACAGGGAGCTGCTAGCCGCGGTACAGGCCCTAAAGGTGTGGAGCTTGGACGAACACCCTTTCCTCATTTTGACTGACCACCGGAACCTGGAGTACATCCGGGCAGCTAGGAGACTGAACCCTCGCCAGGCTCGGTGGAACATGTTTCTGGCCCGGTTCGTATTTAAGATCACGTACATCCCTGGGTCCCAGAACGGTAAGGCAGACGCCCTGTCCCGGCGGTATGACACGGAGGAGAGGTCCGTTGAGCCCACACCCATACTACCGCCGTCTTGTCTGGTGGCACCGGTGGTGTGGGAAGTCGATTCCGAAATCGAGCGGGCGTTGCGTACCGATCCTAGTCCTCCCCAGTGTCCTGTGGGTCGGACGTACGTTCCGTTCGAGGTTCGGGATCGACTTATTTAATGGGCTCACACGTCACCCTCCTCTGGACATCCAGGTATTGGCCGGACAGTGCACTGCCTTAGCACTAAATACTGGTGGCCAACGTTAGCCAGGGATGTGAGGGTTTATGTTTCCTCCTGCTCGGTGTGTGCCCAGTGTAGGGCACCCAGACACCTGCCCCGGGGTAAGTTACAACCCCTGCCCGTTCCACAATGACCCTGGTCTCACCTCTCGGTGGATTTTGTTACAGACCTTCCCCCCTCCCAGGGGAATACCACCATCCTGGTCGTTGTGGATCGGTTCTCGAAGGCCTGTCGTCTCCTTCCCATGCCGGGTCTCCCTACTGCCCTACAGACCGCTGAGGCACTATTCACTCACGTCTTCCGGCATTACGGGGTACCCGAGGATATAGTGTCTGATCGAGGCCCCCAGTTTACCTCTAGAGTCTGGAGAGCGTTCATGGAGCGCTTGGGGGTCTCGGTGAGCCTTACCTCGGGGTACCACCCGGAGAGCAATGGGCAGGTCGAACGGGTAAACCAGGATTTGGGTAGGTTTCTGAGGTCGTATTGCCAGGGCCAGCCGGAGGAGTGGGCGAAGTATGTTCCCTGGGCCGAGATGGCACAGAACTCTCTTCGCCACTCCTCCACCAAACTAACTCCTTTCCAATGTGTATTAGGGTACCAACCGGCTCTGGCACCTTGGCATCAGAGCCAGATCGAGGCCCCTGCGGTGGATGAGTGGGTGCGGCGCTCGGAGGAGACGTGGAACGCTGCACACGTCCATCTGCAGCGGGCCATCCGTCGACACAAGGCGAGCGCCGATCTCCACCGCAGTGAGGGACCGGTGTACGCACCGGGAGATCGAGTCTGGCTCTCAACCAGAAACCTGCCCCTCCGCCTGTCCTTGCCGGAAGCTGGGTCGGCGGTTTGTGGGGCCTTTTAAAGTCCTGAGGAGGTTGAACGAGGTGTGTTACAGGTTACAACTACCTATTGATTATAAGAATATTAACCCCTCGTTCCATGTGTCTCTCCTCAGGCCGGTGGTAGCTGGTCCACTCCAGGACTGTGAGATAGGAGAGACTCCTCCGCCCCCGCTGGACATCGAGGGGGCTCCGGCGTACACAGTTCGGTCCATCCTGGATTCGAGACGTCGGATGGGGGGTCTCCAATATCTCGTGGAGTGGGAGGGGTACGGTCCGGAGGAGCGGTGCTGGGTGCCGAGGAGAGACATCTTAGACCCGTCTCTTCTGACTGAGTTCCATCGTGGTCATCCCACGCGCCCTGCTCCGCATCCTCCTGGTCGTCCCCGAGGCCAGGGTCGGCGCACGGCTGAAGCCGCGCGTCAAGGGGGGGGTACTGTCACGGTTTCGGCCGAGGCTGCTCCTTCTCCTTGTTCGGGCAGGCTTCGGCGGTCGTCGTCTCCGGAGTACTAGCTGCCACCGTTCTTTGTTTTCGATGTTTGTTTGGTTTAGTCTGTTTGGTACACCTGTTCTCGTTTAGTGTTGATTATGTGTCCTTTAAGTTCTCGTTGTTTCTGTCATGTGTTTGTGTGTAGTTGTTCTTTTGTCAGCTGGAGCAGTCAGTACATTTTTCTCTATTTGTTTTGTTTTATAGAGAGTCCGCACTTGTTGTGCGCGTTTGTTGCATTCAGCTCGTTTACGCAGTGTGCGTAATTTTCTCGTGCCTCCGGCTCTGTTTTGTAGCCGTGTCATTTTGTCTTTACTAAAGACTTTTGGACTAAGCCTCTGTGTCCTGCGATTGATTCCTACACCACAGCCACGCCGTCTGACACACAGATGACAAACTTGCACTTATAGGTAAGCCCTTGGAATCTGTAATGGGCTCATCATAATCATTATGGAAATCTTGCTGATAGGAAGGTCTGACTTTTATACATCCTCTAAAATAATTTACAGACATGCATAGGATCCGGGCACAATCAATGAAAAATGTTGAAGTTAGCTGTCATTTGCTTAACTGTTGTCAGTACTGCCAAAATTAGCATGATTCAAACATAGCATGTCTACTTTAATTACACTAACAGACCAGCTAAATACATGTAGAAATATATCAACATTAGAATGCAGATTTCATTTCTTAATGTTCAATAGTCACAAAGTAAGTCATGCATACACACTTACTGCACATCTTGTTAATGTCAATTGAATAGCCATACTTTGCCTATAGACTGAGTCACGTCCATGTCTCTCCCTCATCTCATTTTGTTTTTCATTCACTAGACTCTCAGACTTCAGATCTATAAAGGGTAAAAACTATTTGAATTCTTTTCACGGCAAATCACGTGAACTGTTCTTACTTTTGTTCTGAGTATTCCCCATAATTGCCATAGTTCCCTATTGTGATTAAAATAATAATAATATGCCATTTAGCAGACGCTTTTATCCAAAGCGGGTGGTCCCGGGGATCGAACTCACTACCTTGGCGTTACAAGCGCCGTGCTCTACCAGCTGAGCTACAGAGGACCATGATTGATAGCATGGTTATGCATATCCAGCTCATATCAGCTAAATTATTAGCATTTATATATTGGCATATCCATATGGGTAAAAACCTTGAGTTTAAATTAAGCTTGGCCTTCTATATCCCACAGTGAATTCCACTGACTCCATTATACAAGTACAGTGCATTCGGAAAGTATTCAGATGCCTAGATGTTTTCCTCATTTTCTTACGTTAAAGCCTTATTCTAAAATTGATACAATTGTTTTTTTCCCTCATCACTCTACACACAATACCCCATAATGACAAAGCAAAAACAGATTTGTAGGAATTTTTGCAAATGTATTAAAAATAAAAAATGGAAATATTACATTTACAGTAAGTAAATTCAGACCCTTTACTCAATACTTTGTTGAAGCACCTTTGGCAGCGATTACAGCCTAGAGTCTTCTTGGGTATGACGCTACAAGCTTGGCACACCTGTATTTTGGGAGTTTCTCCCATTCTTCTCTGCAGATCCTCTCAAGCTCTGTCAGGTTGTCCTGAAGCCACTCCTGCATTGTCTTGGCTGTGTGCTTAGGGTCGTTGTCCTGTTGGAAGGTGAACCTTCACCCCAGTCTGAGGTCCTGAGCGCTCTGGAGCAGGTTTTCATCAAGGATCTCTCTGTACTTTGCTCCGTTCATCTTTCCCTCGATTTTGACTAGTCTCTCCATCCCTGCCGCTGAAAAACATCCCCACAGCATGATGCTGCTTACCGCCATGCTTCACCGTAGGGATGGTGCCAGGTTTCCTCCAGACGTGACGCTTGGCATTCAGACCAATGAGTTCAATCTTGATTTCATCAGACCAGAGGATCTTGTTTCTCATGGTCTGAGAGTCCTTTAGGTGCCTTTTGGCAAACTCCAAGCGGGCTGTCATTTTACTGAGGAGTGGCTTCCGTCTGGCCACTTTACGATAAAGGCCTGATTGGTGGAATGCTGCAGAGATGGTTGTCCTTCTGGAAGGTTCTCCCATCTCCATAGAGGAACTCTTGAGTTCTGTCAGAGTGACCATTTGGTTCTTGGTCACCTCCCTGACCAAGGCCATTCTCCCCCGATTGCTCAGTTTGGCCGGGCAGCCAGCTCTAGGAAGAGGCTTGGTGGTTCCAAACTTTTTCCATTTAAGAGTGATGGAGGCCACTGTGTTCTTGGGGACCTTCAATGCTGCAGAAATGTTTTGGTACCCTTCCCCAGATCTGTGCCTTGACACAATCCTGTCTCGGAGCTCTACGGACAATTCCTTCGACTTTATGGCTTGGTTTTTGCTCTGACATGCACTGTCAACTGTGGGACCTTACATAGACAGGTGTGTGCCTTTCTAAATCATGTCCAATCCATTTAATTGACCACAGGTGGACTCCAATCAAATTGTAGACACATCTCAAGGATGATCAATGGAAACAGGATGCACCTGAGCTCAATTTCGAGTCTCATAGCAAAGGGTCTGAATACTTATGTAAATAAGGTATTTCTGTTTTTTATTTGTAATACAGTTGCAAACATTTCTAAAACCCAGTTTTTGCTTCGTCATTATATGGTATTTTGTGTAGATTGATTATTTTTTATTTAATTTAATCAATTGTAGTATAAGGCTGTAATGTAACAAAATGTGGAAAAAGGGAAGGGGTCTGAATACTTATATATATATATATTCCGGACTAATTTCTTTCTTTTTAACTTTTTGGATAATGTGTGTATTGTTTAATATTGCTAGGTATTACTGCAATGTTGGAGCTAGAAATGCAAGCATTTCGCTGCACCTGAGATAACATCTGCAAATCTGTGTACGCGACCAATAAACATAGATTTTTATTTTAATTTTTACTCATTAAATTGAGCAAACCATTTTAAGAGGTAGGGGAATTCTAGAATTGTGTTTGTGTGGTTATGAATGTGTTAAACATTCTTTAAATACACAATAGCTCCAAACACTATTTGCATAGTCATGTCTTTGATACAATGTAATGTAAACGCTATGCCCAAACGTCAAGTTTTCTCCTACTCATTGCTGATTCGCTTGTTTCTCTAGGCACATCAACCTCCCTCTGTTCTGTGTTGGAATAGCAGGTGCATGTTAGAGATTGCATTATTTATTCAGACAGCTTTACCTACACAAACTGAATCCCATCAGAAAATATAATGTATTCAGACTTTAAAAACAGGAATTCAACATTTCTCCTGCTGCTGAAGCTCACTACAGTATATTTTCAGTTCAGGCCCATCCACATGAACTGAGCATGGAGCAGAGGCACAGTGTTAGATAATGTATTAGACAGAGCTAGAGAGTTGTGATAAAAGTACCTCAGAATAAATAGAAAACGTTTGACATCAGAATTTGTGGTGAAAAGTCAATTCTGTTGAAAGAAATGGAACTTGCCAATTCAATTCCTCTCAAAAGTAGTGGCAACAGAATACTCACAGCTCAGACATGACACAGAGTGCTATCATTGGGAACATTTTCTAAAATGTAATGATTATTTGATCTTCTCTCAATCCTCATCTAGAATCGTACGTGGCAGACTTTGATGGCAGAAGCTCCCTGCTCTACCGGTTTAACCAGAAGTCCATGAGCACAGTGAAGGATGTGATCTCGCTGCGCTTCAAGAGCCGCCAGGCTGAGGGGGTGCTGCTCCACGGAGAGGGTCAGAGGGGCGACTACATCACTCTGGAGCTGCACCGGGGCAGGCTGGCCCTCTACCTCAACCTGGGTGAGTTTGTCACACCGGGGCATGCTGTCTCTCTACCTCAACCTGGGTAAGTCGCTGGCCCTGCACCTCAACCTTGCTCACATAGGTCAGGGGTTAGAGGTCAGAGATTAGAGGTAACAGGACGCAAGAGGCTCTGGGTAAGGATGGAGGAGTCCTTTGAACCTCTAATTAGTCTGGGGAGCAATCTGGGAGGATAACTGGATGTTTGTGTTCTACTGCCCTTCCAATTACCACTGCACCTGAGCTCAATTTACTAGCTGGACTCAGACTGTTAAGGATCCACATTGTGAGCATTTGAGCTGGGAAAGAGGATTCTTAAAGGGCAACTGCACTTCCTGATTTGGCGTCATTTTCATCAATGCTCATTAAGAAAAGCTAGCTGCCATCACTGAAGGCTAACGAGAGTTGCCTTAAGGGGTGTGGTTTAATGTTGGTGTTTGCCATTCTATCAGAACAAACAAGTACAGTAGCTACAGCCAGTTCAAGTTGAAACATTATTGAAAGCAAGCTGGCAACATGCATCAAAAATGTCGTCAGGTTTGCTTGTTTATTAGCTTGTCATAATCAAGCAAAAACATTAGCTAACAGGGATAAAATCAAATAAATGTAATTTGTCACATGCTTCGTAAACAACAGGTGTGGACTAACAGTGAAATGCTTACTTACGGGCCCTTCCCAACAACGCAGAGAGAAAGAAAATAAATAAATAATAGAAAAGTAAAAGACATAACAATAAAAGTAATAATAGATGCACAATGAGTAACACTAACTTGGCTACAAGGGGTACCAGTACCGAGTCGATGTGCAGGGATCGGAGGTAATTGAGGTAGATATGTACATATAACTAGGAATAAAGTGACAGATAGCAAACAGTAAAAGCAGTGTATGTGATGAGTCAAAAAGGTTAGTGAAAAAGGTTTTGGGATAGCTATTTAGTTAACTATTTAACTAACTATTAGCAGTCATGGCTTGGGGTTAGAAACTGTTCAGGGTCCTATTGGTTCCAGACTTGGCGATTCGGTACCGCTCGCCATGCGGTAGCAGAGAGAACAGTCTATGACTTGGGTGGCTGGAGTATTTTAGTGCCTTCCTCTGACACCGCCTAGTATAGAGGTCCTGGATGGCAGGGATCTCGGCCCCAGTGATGTACTATCCTCTGTAGCGCCTTGTGGTTGGATGCCAGGCAGTTGCCATACAAAGCGGTGATGCAGCCAGTCAAGATGCTTTCAATGGTGCAGCTGTAGAACATTTTGACGATCTGAGGGCCCATGCCAAATATTTTCAGCCTCCTGAGAGGGAAGAGGCATTGTCGTGCCCTCTTCTGTGTTGGTGTGTTTGGACCATGATAATAATAATAATAATAATAATATGATAGATCCTTAGTGATGTGGACACCAAGGAACTTGAAGCTCTCGACCTGCTCCACTTCAGTCCTGTCAATGTGAATGGGGGAGTGCTCGGCCCTCCGTTTCCTGTAGTCCACAATAAGATCCTTTGTCTTGCTGACGTTGAGGGAGAGGTTGTTGTCCTGGCACCACACTGCCAGGTCTCTGACCTCCTCCCTATAGGCTGTCTCATCATCGTCGGTGATCAGGCCTACCACGGTCAAGTCGTCTGAGAACTTGATGATGGTGTTGGAGTCGTGCGCGACCACAGAGTCGTGGGTGAACAGGGAGTACAGGAGGAAACTAAGCACGCACCCCTGAGCGGCCCCCGTGTTGAGAGTCAGCGTGGCGGATGTGTTGTTGCCTACCCTCACCACCTGTGGGCGTCTCATCAGGAAGTCCAGTGCCTTCAGAAAGTATTCACACCCCTTGACTTTTTCCACATTTTGTTGTGTTACAGCCTGCATTTAAAATTGATTAAATTGAGTGGAATTCTATTTTTGGAATGGTGTTTTTAGACATTTTTTTAATTAATTAAAAATGAAAAGCTGAAATGTCTTGAATCAATAAGTGTTCAACCCCTTTGTTATAGCAAGCCTAAGTAAGTTCAGGAGTAGAAATTCGCTTAACAAGTCACATAATAAGTTGCATGGACTCACTTTGTGTGCAATAATTGTGTTTAACATGATTTTTGAATGATTATGATGATGATGATTTGTGGTCCTCTGTAGCTCAGCTGGTAGAGCACGGCGCTTGTAACGCTAAGGTAGTGGGTTCGATCCCCGGGACCACCCATACACAAAAAAATAAAAAAATTCATGTATGCACGCATGACTGTAAGTCGCTTTGGATAAAAGCGTCTGCTAAATGCATTTATTTTTATAATTTTTTATTACGTCATCTCTGTACCGCACATATACAATTATCTGTAAGTTGACCAGTGAATTTCAAACACAGATTTCCAATTACTCTTAAAGAAGGGCACCTATTGGTAAATGGGTAAAACATTTAAAATCAAACATTGAATATCCCTTTGAGCATGGTGAACTTATTAATTACACTTTGGATGGTGTATCAATATACCCAATTACTACAAAGATACAGGCATCCTTCCTAACTCAGTTACCGGAGAGGAAGGAAACCGCTCAGGGATTTCACCATGAGGCCAATAGTGACTTTAAAACAGTTGCAGTTTAATGGCTTTGATAGGAGAAAACTGAGGATGGATCAACAAGATTGTAGTTACTCCACAATACTAATCTAATTGACATAGTGAAAATAAGGAAGCCTGTACAGAATAAAAATATTCCAAAACATGCATCCTGTTTGCAACAAGGCACTAAAGTAATACTGCAAGAAATGTGGCAAAGCAATTAACTTTTTGTCCTGAATGCAAAGTGTTATGTTTGGGTCAAATCCAGTACAACACATGACTGAGTACCACTCTCCATATTTTCAAGCAAGGTGGTGGCTGCATCATGTTATAGGTATGCTTGTAATTGTGAAGGACTGTGGAATGGAATGAAGCTAAGCACAGTCAAAATCCTAGAGGAATACCTGGTTCAGTCTGCTTTCCAACAGACACTGGGAGATTAATTCACCTTTCAGCAGTACAATAACCTAAAACACAAAGCCAAATATACACTGGAGTTGCTTACCAAGAAGACAGTGAATGTTCCTAAGTGGCCGATTTACAGTTTTGACTTACATCTACATGAAAAGCTATGGCAACACCAGAAAACTGTTGTCTAGCAATGATCAACAACCAATTTGACAGAGCTTGAAGATTTTTTTAAAGAATAATGGGCAAATGTTGCACAATCCAGGTGTGGAAAGCACTTAGAGACTTACCCAGAAAGACTCACAGCTGTAATTGTTGCCAAAGGTGCTTCTACAAAGTATTGACTCAGGGGTGTGAATACTTATGTAAATGAGATATTTCTGTATTTCATTTGTATTAATTTGCTAAAATTTCCAAAACATGTTTTCACTTTGTCATTATTGGGTATTGTGTGTAGATGGGTGATATATATTTTTTTATCAATTTTGAATTCAGGCTATAACACAAGAAAATGTGGAATAAGTCAAGTGGTATGAATACTTTCTAAAGGCACTGTAGGTGTTCCTTTTGTCCAAATGGGAAAGGGCCGTGTGGAGTGCAATAGAGATTGCATCATCTGTGGATCTGTTGGGGCAGTATGCGAATTGGAGTGGATCCAGTGTGTTTGGGATGATGGTGTTGATGTGAGCCATGACCAGCCTTTCAAAGCATTTCATGGCTATAGATGTGAGTGCTATGGGGCGATAGTCATTTAGACAGGTACCTTGGCATTCTTGGGCACAAGGACTATGGTGGTCTGCTTTAAACATGTACTGTAGGTATAACAATCTGGGTCAGGGAGAGGTTAAATATGTTGTTTTTTTTTATGTTTTTTTTTTCACCTTTATTTAACCAGGTAAACCAGTTGAGAACAAGTTCTCATTTACAACTGCGACCTGGCCAAGATAAAGCAAAGCAGTGCGATAAAAACAACAATACATAGTTACATATGGGGTAAAACAAAACAAAGTCAAAAATACAACAGAAATACATATAATATACAGTGTGTGCAAATTTAGCAAGTTATGGAGGTAAGGCAATAAAATAGGCTATAGTGCAAAATAATTACAATTAGTATTAACACTGGACTGATAGATGTGCAAGAGATGATGTGCAAATAGAGATACTGGGGTACAAATGAGCAAAATAAATAACAATATAGGGATGAGGTAGTTGGGCGGGCTAATTTCAGATGGGCTGTGTACAGGTGCAGTGATCGGTAAGGTGTTCTGACAACTGATGCTTAAAGTTAGTGAGGGAGATAAGTGTCTCCAGCATCAGAGATTTTTGCAATTTGTTCCAGTCATTGGCAGCAGAGAACTGGAAGGAATTGCGGCCAAAGGAGGTGTTGGCTTTGGGGATGACCAGTGAGATATACCCGCTGGAGCGCAGACTACGGGTGGGTGTTGCTATGGTGACCAATGAGCTAAGATAAGGCGGGGATTTGCCTAGCAGTGATTTATAGATGGCCTGGAGCCAGTGGGTTTGGCGACGAATATGTAGTGAGGACCAGCCAACAAGAGCGTACAGGTCACAGTGGTGGGTAGTATATGGGGCTTTGGAGACAAAACGGATGGCACTGTGATAGACTACATCCAATTTACTGAGTAGAGTGTTGGAGGCTATTTTGTAAATGACATCGCCGAAGTCAAGGATCGGTAGGATAGTCAGTTTTACGAGGGCATGTTTGGCAGCATGAGTGAAGGAGGCTTTGTTGCGAAATAGGAAACCGATTCTAGATTTAACTTTGGATTGGAGATTCTTAATGTGAGTCTGGAAGGAGAGTTTACAGTCTAACCAGACACCTAGATATTTGTAGTTGTCCACATACTCTAGGTCAGACCCGTCGAGAGTAGTGATTCTAGTCGGGTGGGCGGGTGCAAGCAGCGTTCGGTTTGAAGAGCATGCATTTAGTTTTACTAGTGTTTAAGAGCAGTTGGAGGCTACTGAAGGAGTGTTGTATGGAATTGAAGCTCGTTTTGAGGTTTGTTAACACAGTGTCCAATGAAGGGCCAGATGTATACAAAATGGTGTCGTCTGCGTAGAGGTGGATCTGAGA